TGGTAGGGGGAGACGCAGAGGTGCTACTGCAACAGTAATAGAGGCTGACGCTCCTATTGGTACCTCTCACCCTGGTCCTCCTGCTACACTTGCACCTAATCTTAAGTTCATCCCCCTTCTGTGGGACGAATGGTGTAATGGGATTGGTGGAAGGAAGCCAGCAAGGGATTTTACWACTGCTGAAAGAGGCAGATGCAGGGACAAATACAGCAAGCGATTGATTATTTGGAAGTGTATGAAGAGGCTTACAGAGAGAGGATACACAGTGACTTCTGCAGTTAGAAGGATCCATGAGGTGTATGGATATCTACCTGTGAGTAAGCTGATTGAAAAGATGAGGAAGGATGAAAGGAATGGGGGACATGCTAGACTGAGGAGCTAGTAATCAATCGACTTGGAGCAATCGATTCGGATTCGGAGCAATCGATTGATTTATTCCGTGTTACTGCTGGATTCGTTGCTGCTGGATTCGTTGCTGCAATTCGTATGGAAGCAATCGATCCGTATGGAAGCAAGGGAGCAATCGATCCGTATGGAAGCAAGGGAGCAATCGATCCGTATGGAAGCAAGGGTCGGAGCAATCGATCCGTATGATGGAAGCAAGGGAGGAGCAATCGATCCGTAGTTATTCGTGTAGAGCAAGCAACAACAAGCAAGGAAGCAATCGATTCGGATGGAAGCAAGGGAGCAATCGATTGGTATGGAAGCAATCGATTCGTAGCTGTGATTCGTTGCTGCGATTCGTTGCTGCGATTCGTAGCTGTGATTCGTTGCTGCGATTCGTTGCTGTGATTCGTTGCTGTGATTCGTAGCTGTGATTCGTTGCTGCGATTCGTTGCTGCGATTCGTAGCTGTGATTCGTTGCTGCGATTCGTTGCTGCGAATCGTTGCTGTTATTCGTTGCTGCGATTCCTCGTATGAAGCAAGCAACAAGCAAAGGAGCAAGCAATCGATTCGTTGCTGTGTTATTTCGTGTTGTTCGGCGTGTTATTCAGCGTGTTATTCGGCGTGTTATTCGGCGTGTTATTCGGCGTGTTATTCGGCGTGTTATTCCGTGTTATTTGTGGCGGTGTTACGTGTAGTGCTATCCTGAATAAAAGAGCAATGTTAGATAGCTGTTAAGAAATAGTAGTAAGCAGTATTCCTATTAACACAGTTAGCAACACCCCCAGTACCAGTAGGATTGGGCCTGAGGTGCTTGTAGGAATCAGTAGTAAGGAGTTCGTGTGGAGGTGTTTATTTCCAGTAGTAAGCAGTACTCTTAGTACTGTCGACTTCAGGTTTTTTGTTGTACCTTCATTTCCCAGTAGTAAGCACTCTTACAAGTACTTCGAAGTACTTGGTGTAGTTAGTTGTGTTCCGTACTTAATTTTTCACTMTAAGTTTTTGGATATTTTCGGTYCAGTAGTAAGCCTCACTCTTATAAATACTTGTGTTTCAGCGAGTTGGCGATAATTTGTGTGTGTGTAGGATT